GCTTTGTCCATTACATAGACTGACCAGGTGAAAGCTATTATCCCTTATTGATATCCTTTGTTAAACCTATTTCAATCAGTTTCCATGGTGTATCAAGAATGGTCCACCACCCAAGAGGTCAATAGCTGCGTTTAACACACACTGGCAGGCACAGGCACACCATTTCCCTTTCATCACTGTAAGATAAGATGCTAAAGAAACACTACACATTACGATAGGAATTTCCTTTCAGAAGACATAATGCCATAAACCCCATTTAGACCATCTGAAAAGCTGCCTCCACCATTCAAACCAACCTGGAATAATTTTGTATTATTCTGTATGTAAATCTGAGACACTCCATTTAGTATGGTATTTACATTTCACATGGTATGTATTAATTTGTGGATGTCCATCATCCATTTGGTATATGTTACTATTTGCAATTCGTACAATATGTTTACGAATTGCAATTCGTATAAAATGTTACGAATTTGCAAAACGTACAATGTTACGAAGTTGCAAAACATACAATATGTTACAAATTCCAATTTGTTGTGGTTAACGTTAACTAGGTGGCTAGGGTGGCAATGCTAACTAGCTGGCTAACGTTAGCTAGGCTAGGGGTTAGGTGTTAAGGTTAGGGTTAAGAGTTAGATTAATGGGTTAAGGTAAGGGGAAGGGTTAGCTAAAAGTGTCAAGGTTAGGGGAAGGGTTAGCTACATGCTAAATTGTTGCAAAGTAGCTTAAAAGTAGTAGAACAGTAGCTAATTAGATACAATTCTAAAATTGTTCGTGATGAGATTCGAACGCGCATCCTTTGGGTTGCTAGACGTTCGTGTTATACGCCCACCCATTCATCCAACCCCCCTCCTTTCGTTTTTGCCTTAAGTAACCTTCTGTCTTAGGTAACCATACCAAACATAACATATCATACTAATTTGAGTGTTTCCGGATTTACATTTACTATGTCACGTCTAGTCTATGAGACCAGGCTGTTCAAACAGACAAGGACCAGAGTCTGGTTGGGATAACCCTAGATAGATGAGGATTGGCTGGGGCCAAGGCATCCATCCTCCAGTCAGACAGTTGTACCATAGTAGCCAGGCAGGCTCAGCAATGCCAGGCTTTGTAATCCCCAGGCTGCCCAGTGCCCCTTCTGTTCAATTACCTACTCCTCCCGTTTCACCATTACCACCCCATCTCCCTTTCATTTGGATTGGTGTGTGTGTGTGTGTGTGTGTGTGTGTGGCAGCATTCCAGGGAAGATGAGGTCTGGGTTTTCCCCATCTGAAATAGCAGCAGACCTAATGACCCCCTCTAATTGCACAATGTCAATATTGTTGTATTTTGAATCCCACAGCACTCATAAAATATGTTGCTAGAGATCTCATAGAATATGCTGAGAGAGATAGCTCAATATAGTGTGACTTGGAGAAGAGACGAGGATAAATGCATACAGACTCATTTGTCTACGCTTCATTTATACAGAATATTAGCATTTAAAGCCAAAGCAATAATGCAGGGGCAAAATCTGTTATTTGAGTGTCAACAACAAAAATACAAAAACAGGGAAACATTGATCTCATTTAGATATCAAAGCAAATAATTTAAGGTAAAAATAAAAATAAGAGTTGTCATTTATTCAGACATTCGCTTCAGAAAGTTGTTAAATTCATAATAACCTCAGTGGGGGGGGGGGGGAAACTGTCATCGGATGACATTGGAAATTGAGCTGATATATTGATTGATAATGAGTAGAAAATCAATAAGAGACTCCAACGACATGAACGTCTCAGATTAGAGTTCATAGAAAATATTGCTCATGAAGGAAGTTGGGTTGCCTGATTCCACATCAGTTTCAAGTCCTGTGACCCGCACATTGAATATATAGGAATGATTTGAGTGATTCTTCAGAAGTGAACAGTGCAATAGATTCATGTTCCCACAAGTAAATAGTGAATGGACAGTGTGCTAGCTGCTGGAGCGAAATAGACCTGCTAGTTGTTCCTTGTACAGCGAACGTCCCACACATTAATATGGTGTTATACACTGAGTGTACAAAACATTAGTAACACCTGCTTTTTCCATGACATAGACTGATCAGGTGAATCCAGGTGAAAGCTATTATCCCTTATTGATATCACTTGTTAAACCTATTTCAATCAGTGTACAGTGAGGGAAAAAAGTATTTGATCCCCTGCTGATTTTGTACGTTTGCCCACTGACAAAGACATGATCAGTCTATAATTTTAATGGTAGGTTTATTTGAACAGTGAGAGACAGAATAACAACAAAAAAATCCAGAAAAACGCATGTCAACATATTTATAAATGGATTTGCATTTTATTGAGGGAAATAAGTATTTGACCCCTCTGCAAAACATGACTTAGTACTTGGTGGCAAAACCCTTGTTGGCAATCACAGAGGTCAGACGTTTCTTGTAGTTGGCCACCAGGTTTGCACACATTTCAGGAGGGATTTTGTCCCACTCCTCTTTGCAGATCTTCTCCAAGTCATTAAGGTTTCGAGGCTGACATTTGGCAACTCGAAACTTCAGCTCCCTCCACAGATTTTCTATGGGATTAAGGTCTGGAGACTGGCTAGGCCACTCCAGGACCTTAATGTGCTTCTTCTTGAGCCACTCCTTTGTTGCCTTGGCCGTGTGTTTTGGGTCATTGTCATGCTGGAATACCCATCCACGACCCATTTTCAATGCACTGGCTGAGGGAAGGAGGTTCTCACCCAAGATTTGACGGTACATGGCCCCGGCCATCGTCCCTTTGATGCGGTGAAGTTGTCCTGTCCCCTTAGCAGAAAAACACCCCCAAAGCATAGTGTTTCCACCTCCATGTTTGACGGTGGTGATGGTGTTCTTAGGGTCATAGGCAGCATTCCTCCTCCTCCAAACACGGCGAGTTGAATTGATGCCAAAGAGCTCCATTTTGGTCTCATCTGACCACAACACTTTCACCCAGTTCTCCTCTGAATCATTCAGATGTTCATTGGCAAACTTCAGACGGGCCTGTATATGTGCTTTCTTGAGCAGGGGGACCTTGCGGGCGCTGCAGGATTTCAGTCCTTCACGGCGTAGTGTGTTACCAATTGTTTTCTTGGTGACTATGGTCCCAGCTGCCTTGAGATCATTGACAAGATCCTCCCGTGTAGTTCTGGGCTGATTCCTCACCGTTCTCATGATCATTGCAACTCCACGAGGTGAGATCTTGCATGGAGACACAGGCCGAGGGAGATTGACAGTTCTTTTGTGTTTCTTCCATTTGCGAATAATCGCACCAACTGTTGTCACCTTCTCACCAAGCTGCTTAGCGATGGTCTTGTAGCCCATTCCAGCCTTGTGTAGGTCTACAATCTCGTCCCTGACATCCTTGGAGAGCTCTTTGGTCTTGGCCATGGTGGAGAGTTTGGAATCTGATTGATTGATTGCTTCTGTGGACAGGTGTCTTTTATACAGGTAACAAACTGAGATTAGGAGCACTCCCTTTAAGAGTGTGCTCCTAAACTCAGCTCGTTACCTGTATAAAAGACACCTGGGAGCCAGAAATCTTTCTGATTGAGAGGGGGTCAAATACTTATTTCCCTCATTAAAATGCAAATCAATTTATAACATTTTTTACATGCGTTTTTCTGGATTTTTTTAATTTTTATTCTGTCTCTTACTGTTCAAATAAACCTACCATTAAAAGTATAGACTGATCATTTCTTTGTCAGTGGGCAAACGTACAAAATCAGCAGGGGATCAAATACTTTTTTCCCTCACTGTAGATGAAGGGGAGAAAGGCTAAAGAAGGATTTTTAAGCCTTGAGACAATTGAGACATGGATTGAACGAGGATAATTGCATACAGACTCATTTGTCTACGCTTTATTTATACAGAATATTAGCATTTAAAGCCGAAGCAATAATGGAGGGGTAAAATCTGTTATTTGAGTGTCAACAAAATAAATACCAAAAAAACTGTCAACAACAAAAATAGGAAAAAAACTGTCATCGGATGACATTGGAAATTGAGCTGATATATTGATTGATAATGAGTAGAAAATCGATAAGGAGACTCCAACGACATGAACGTCTCAGATTAGAATCCGCAGGATCAATACATTCACAGTGACATTGTGATAAAGAGCGAGCTCTGTCTGATGCTAGGACACAGAATGGAGTACAGTCATAACAATCAAAGCAGATCATTTTCCTTAGAGAGAACCTTATACCTATTTTTCCCCTTCCTGTGGGGGAACGTGTTTTTTAAAATTGTATTTACCCTTATTTTACCAGGTAAGTTGACTGAGAACACATTCTCACTTACAGCAACGACCTGGGGAATAATTACAGGGGAGAGGAGGGGGGATGAATGAGCCAAAAGGAACATGGGGATGATTAGGTGGCCATGATGGTATGAGCCAGACTTGGAATTTAGCCAGGACACCGAGGTTAACACCCCTACTCTTACGATAAGTGCCATGGGATCTTTAGTGACAACAGAGAGTCAGGACACCCGTTTAACGTCCCATCCAAAAGACAGCACCCTACACAGGGCAATGTCCCAAATCACTACCCTGGGGCATTGAGATATTTTTTTGGGACCAGAGGAAAGAGTGCCTCCTACTGGCCCTCCAACACAACTTCCAGCAGCATCTGGTCTCCCATCCAGGGACCAACCAGGACCAACATAAAAAAAAATGCATTGTACATTGACAGGGTGGCAATTCTTTAGTTGTGGCGTTAAATTACTTCCATTTAGCAGAAACACTGCATTGTAGAGGTTTAGATGTAGTCTATTTGCAAAGGCCTTCCCACAGATGTCGCACATGAATGCTTTGACACCAACGTGCACACGCTCGTGCAATCAGATAGTTCCTTTTGACAAAACATTTGCCACACACGTCGCAGACTAAACGTTTTTCTTAAATTTTTCCAGGGTGGGTGACCACCATATGCTTTCTGAGAGCAGGTGCATCGCTAAAACGTTGGCCACATCCAAAACAGCTATGATCCTTTTTTCTTTACAAGTAATCATGTTTTTTTAAGGACACAGCGGTAAAGAACATCTTGCCGCAGGTTCCACAGCAATACTTCCTCTCCTCAATGCGTTTCCTCGTGATAAGCCAATCCTTCTCTGGACTTTAAGATCTTTGGGCAAAAAGAGCAGCTGAATGTCTTCCATACAATGCACCTGTGCCTCAAGTATTTTTTCCCTACAAACTTTATTTCATAAACTGTGCATGTGACAGTCTCCTCTGTTTTGTGACCCTTCATGTGTAACTGCAAAGTACATTCATGGCAAAACATTGCATCCCAATCGGTACAACTTAAGGTTTTCTCTAGGTGTTTAATGGAATGTTCCTCAAGCTGTTTGGCCAAATAAAAACCTTTCCCACACTGCGAGCAGCTGTAGGGTTTTGTATAGGACTGAAGATGTCTTGTCAACCATTTCTTCTTGAAACATTTTCCACAATGGGAACAGATGAGGGGCCCCTCATTGGCCACGTCCCCACGTTGGAGATCTTCTCCATCCCTACCTGGGTCTTGTTTGTCTGGGTCTGATCCAGATGGGGCCTGAGGGTCAAGGTCAGCATCCTCGCTGGGATCAAACTCAAGGAGCCATCCATCTTCTGATGAAAGTGAGGACAGGGGGGCAAGGCTAGAATCCTCCTCCTGATAATCTGACTCAGAAGAAGATCCCTCATCTGTAACAGAGAGGGTCATTGTGGTTGTTGCTGTGCACATGCAGAAGAAACCAGTTAGATAAATCATCTGACTGTAGCAACAACAACAAATGTAGTGTTGTGCTATTATTTATGTTACACAGGAAATAGAAATGTTCTGTTTTAAATGGGTACTGGGAACACAACAATACATACACTCACCCTTTACTGCTACTTTTTGTGTTGCTACTCATAGCCGCGGGAAATAGGGGTGCTGCAGCATCCCCTGATAAATATACATTATTTCGCCCAAATCATATTACTCCTGTCTGAACAGACATACAGAGCCTTCAGAAAGTATTCATACACCTTGACTTACTGCACATTTTGTTGAGTCACAGCCTGAATTCAAATTTGATTAAACAGATTTGTTTTTCCCCTCATCCATCTATCTACACACAATACCCCATAATTACAAAGTGAACAAAATGTTTTTAGAAATGTTTGCAAATGTATTGAAAATGAAGTACAGATATATCTCATTTACATAAGTATTCACACCCCTGAGTCAATACTTTGTAGAAGCACCTTTGGCAGCGATTACAGCTGTCTTTCTGGGTAAGTCTCTAAGAGCTTTCCACACCTGGATTGTGCAACATTTGCCCATTCTTAAAAAAATTATTCAAGTTCTGTCAAATTGGTTGTTGATCATTGCTAGACAACCATTTTCAGGTCTCGCCATAGATTTTCAAGTAGATTTAAGTAAAAACTGTAACACGGCCACTTGGGAACATTCACTGTTGGTAAGCAAGCCTTGTGTTTTAGGTTATTATCCTGCTGAAAGGTGAATTCATCTCCCAATGTCTGGTGGAAAGCAGACTGACCAGGTTTTTCTCTAGGATTTTGCCTGTGCTTAGCTCTATTCCATTTCTTTTTTTATCCTGAAAAACTCCCTAGTCCTTAACAATTAAAAGCATACTCATAACATGATGCAGCCACCACCATGCTTGAAAATATGGAGGGTGGTACTCAGTAATGTGTTGTATTGGATTTGCCACAAACATAACACTTTGTATTCAGGACAAAAAGTTAATTGCTTTGCCACATTTTTAGCAGTATTACTTTTGTTGATCCATCCTCAGTTTTCTCCTATCACAGCCATTCAAATATGTAACTGTTTGAAAGTCACCATTGTCCTCATGGTGAACTCCCTTCCTCTACGGCAACTGAGTTAGGAAGGACGCCTGTATCTTTGTAGTGACTGGGTGTCCATCCAAAGTGTAATTAATAACTTCACCATGCTCAAAGGGATCTACCAATAGGTGCCCTTCTTTGCGAGGCATTGAAAAAACTCCATGGTCTTTGTGGTTGAAATGCACTGCTCAACCGAGGGACCTTACAGATAATTGTATGTGTGGGGTACAGAGATGAGGTAGTCATTCAAAAATCATGTTAAACATTATTATTGCACACCGAGTCCATGTAACATATTATGTGACTTGTTAAGCACATTTGTACCCCTGAACTTATTTAGGCTTGCCATAACAAAAGGGCTTCAATACTCAAGACATTTCATTTTTCATTATTAATTCATTTGTAAAGATTTTTAAAAAACAATCAAACTTTGACATTATGAGGTATTGTGTGTAGGCCAGTGACAAAAAAATCTAAATGTAATCCATTTTAAATTCAGGCTGTAACACAACAAAATGTGGAAAAATAAATTGATGTGGTTTGGTAAATGTTTGTTTCGTTTCACATAAATACTTTTTAGCGCTTGGCTACTTTTGGTTTGTTTCCAATTATAAATACAACATTGCTTCCACACAAGACTTGAACATGTTTCTGACTTGCCTTAATGGTGCCAAATTCTGACCATCAACAGGTGATTTGCTTAACGACCGACTTTATTGAGATGGAAACTAAGACACAATGGAAATATGGTTTGACGTTTAATGAAGCGCTAACAGATATGCCCGTCTAATTAGCTAGATTATCCTATTGAAGGTTCGAAAGGTTGGGCCTTTTACACATTTAAATAAACAATTCCAACAGTGTGCTTGCCAAAAACTGCTTGCTTTACAAACAAAAATGAATTATGAAGCCTATTATAGCCTAGGTTTCCATCACCTCGGTCTAAGGCTGTACCATAGCCACCTGTAGCATACAACATATGACTGCATTTAGTGGTTTGGATCACTGCATAAAAGCCAACGTTTTGAAACGACAGTCGCATGGATCCTGGTTACAGCTCAAGCTATTGTGTTCTCATATTTTTCCACCTCCAAAAATATATGCTCATTAGGAGTCAATGCATGTCATAGGGATCCCCTATGCACACGTACGTGTAAATAAAACCTATATCTAATATGCAAATATTTGGATTTAAGCTGATTTCCCACAATAATAGCAATGACAACCTTGGGGTTGTAAACTCTGGGTTTGGAAATCAGAAGTGCTCCTGAGTACAAAATACCCCTCTATCACAGCGACACCATATACAGGAAATTGTGTTCGATGCAATTTACATGACCAATATGAAAAATGCTGATTGGCCACTCTTTATGGGCCACAAAATGAGCAGCAATGCTCCTCTGTGTGTAAACTCTGTACTTGGAAACTAGAAATGCTCCTGAGTAGAATTCCTGCCCCCCCCCCCCCCCCCCTTTACTGTGACACAACGTACAGAAAATGGTGTACGGTGCAATAGGCTATGCATGTCCAATATGAAAAATGTACTGAACATCATGCAATACCAATGGGTTGAAAAACAATGGCATTTAAATGTGTTTTCTAAAGTTGATTATAATTACAGCATTACTATTATCGTTATTACTATTAACAGTAGCATTATAAATTAATGTTTTGTTATTTGTATTACTGTTGTTACCATAACTATCTAGTAATCATTCATATTAATGTTGTAGTCAATGCTATAACATTATTTGTGCTATTAAGGCTATTAACTTTTTTGATATTGTTAAACAACATTTTAAGTCTACTAACATTTCCTAATAAAATGTTACGAATTTCGAACATTTTTATAACCGTTTTGCATCGTCATTGCGGGACTTTTATTTTGAAGGGAAATCGCCGAGGTCACGGCCTTATCAAGGCGCTACGTGGTCATTCTGACGTCTGCATTGGCCGTGCAGCATTTACGGTGATATGGCCTCTGCAGAAGTCAGGGCATTCATACTTTTTGCGCTTCGCCGAGCAGCAGAGCTGTTGTGAAGGAAGTGAGTTTGTGTTTATACAGGACCTCCCGCCAACCAATCATGTCAATGCGGAGCTATACAGAGCCCTCCGCATTGTTACAAAACTTGCGAGGCGCACAGCGATGCGGTCCAGAGCTCAATTTGGCTTCTGCGTGCCTTCAGAGGCACCGCAATTGCGTCACATCATCCATACGGCGTCTCCGACCATATTTTCAGATAAAGCATGAATTGGCTTGTTCTTGCTGGCGGAATTACAGAGCGCCTCTTATCCGCTGTCGAATGTTTCCGGTCCCACTCTGTATTATTGTCCGATAGAAAACAAGCAAGCGAGCAGCAATGTTCCCACCATTGACAGTAAAATAAAGAGCATGTTATATTATAGGACACCTAATGCGGTCCTATCAAGGGCATTTATTTTTGTGGAATTTGTTTGAACATTAAACATACCACATTGGTCATAAGTATTTAAAACAAACACTGAAAAATGCAGATCTTGTGAGCTGACAAAAATGAAGAAGAGGGTGTTCAGAAAGTGTTACCAAAGCCAAATGCCAGCTGCTGATACATACACTTTTATATTCTTGGCACGTGAATCACCTGGCTCTGTATCAGTTCATCAAAAGAGGACCATCGCGCTCTCCCAGTTCACCTCTCCCAGTTCACCCATAAGTTTGAGTGATTTTATCTTCTGATATGCTAAGAAAGGAAGATCTGTGCAAACTGAGGTTAAAGGGAAACAATAACACTCGTTAAGTATAAACATTCATGAAGAGAATTTTGACTATAGAGGTTTATTAAAATGTACTTTAAGAGCCCAAAGCTAACTGTAATTGTAAAACATTTTATTTTTCCTACGGCGCAATGTCACACAGGTCACTTTTTCAACATAACCTCAAGGGGTTTTCAATGTTTTTAGTTTAGTAAGTTCTTGAGTACCAACATTTTCACACTGCCATATTATTCAGAGGCCCTGTGCCATTCATCTTAGACCTGTTTCTTCAGTAATCCTCTGCACTGTTTCCAGGAGCTGGTTTCCAGTTGTACTTGCACTTGTGGACTTTCAGATTGTGTCTACAGGCATAGGCATTCCCACAGTCTTTGCACACAAATGCTTTGACACCAGTGTGCACACGCTCGTGAGATTTTAGATGACCTTTCTGGCTGAACCTCTTACCACATTGATCACACTCAAATGGTTTCTCGCCTGTGTGAGTGCGCATGTGAACTTTAAGGAAATTGTACATAAAACCTTTCCCGCAAACTTTACAGTAATATGGTTTCAACCCTGTGTGAGTGACCTTGTGAATTTTAAGTGAATGATGATACCTAAAACCTTCCCCACAAATGTCACATTTGAATGGTTTCTCTCCTGTGTGAATGCGCACATGCTGATCCAGAGAAACTTTCACATAGAAGGCTTTACCGCAGTGATTGCAGACATATGGCTTTGGCCCAGACGGCTGAATTGGCGCAGACTGCAGCTTTGGGCCAGACCGCAGCTTTTCCTGAAGTGTAAGGTGACGCCTCTTGTGACTCCGGAGGGAGGAAGGTTCAAAGAAGGCTTTCTCACAGACATCACACTTGTAAGGCCTTTCACCAGTGTGCCTTATTTTATGGATCTTTAGGGTTCCGGACTGGGTGAACCGTTTACCACAAACATCACAGCAATATAATTTCTGGCCTGTGTGAGTTCTCTTGTGTCTGCTGAGATTAGCACCTTGACTAAACTTTTTTCCACAAACATCACAAGAAAAAGGTTTCTCTGCCCCGTGTAGAGTCATATGGCTTTTGAGATGGCACTTTCGACCAAAACATTTGCCACACACGTCGCAGACAAAATATTTTTCTTTTGTTTCTCCAGGATGGGTGACCACCATATGCTTTCTGAGAGCAGGTGCATCGCTGAAACATTGGCCACATAAAGTACAGCTATGATCCTTTTCTATATGACTCCTCTTATGGACAGCTAAGGTTGAAGTGGTAAAGAAAAGTTTGCCGCAGGTTTCACAGCAATACTTCCTCTCCCCTGAATGCGTAGCCTCGTGATCAACCAGTCTTCGTCTCCACTTAAAGGTCTTCGGGCAAAGAGAGCAGCTGAATGTCTTCTGTGCATCACTACTACACTTGTGCCTCTCTAGTCCTGTTTCCCCTAGAAACTTTTTTTCACAAACTGTGCATGCGACCGTTTTCTTCGTTTTGTGACGCTTCATGTGTGACTGCAAAGCAGGTTTCTGGCGAAACACTGCGTCACAATCGGCACAACTGAAGGGTGTCTCTCCAGAATGTGTCATGGAGTGTTCCTCAAGCCTCCTCTTCAAGCTAAAACATCTCCCACACTGCAAGCAGCTATAGGGTTTTGAATGGGTCCGAAGGTGTTTATTCAATAAACATTTCATCTTGAAATCTTTTCCACAATGAGAACAACTGAAGGGCTGCCTGTCTCGTTTGTCTTGGTCTGTTGCAGATAGGGTCTGGGGGCCAAGAGCAACCTCTTCTTGTGGATGAAACTGAGGGAGCGAATCCTCATCTGATACAGTTGAGGACAGTGGGGCAAAGTCAGGTTGATCATCATGATGATTAGACTCAGATCCCTCATCTGTAAAAGAGATGGTCATTGTTAATTTTGTTGTGGACATGAAGAAACCAGTACATACATAAATTAAGGAAAATATATCATCAAAATAACACACAAAAACACTCCACACCTTAGTCATAGTAGATCTCTAAATCATATAGGCTGCGCTACCTAACAATATGTAGCATACACTGTGTAGCGAACGGCAGGGCAGAGAAGCAAACCCAGGTTGCTGGTGTGAAAGGCAAACACCCTACGCATCCCGCCAATAGGGTTAACCCACTTGGTGGGAATTGTAACGTGGCTCATAGAGAGGATCGCTACACTGCCTCCTCCGAACGGGAAGGCACGTCCCTGTGCTTCTACTACTCAGCACCCTGACACGTCCAGGCCTAGCTACAGATTTGTAAGGGGCTAATGTGATTCTCCATAACCTGTTACAGGACAGGTACTGTTTGGCGTAGCAGAGAATTTTCGACCACCATAACTTGCCGATACCATCTTTGTTCTCAATTCAACCAAACATGGATTCTTCTAATATGTCTGTGACTAGCTGCAGGTGGTTCGTTTGAATTTAGAAAATGCTCCGTTATTAAAATAAATACACATTTTGATCCATTAAGTTTTACAACAGTGTGTATGCCGCTATCTTGTCCATTTCAAATCTTCTCTCAATGAGCGGGTTCGATTAATCTCGCCCGGGTGAGTTTTGCATCGGCTTAAAAAGTTGATTTCATTCAATTTGGAACAGGGCTGCCTCCCGGGCGTGAGCCAGGTGTCCCATTCAAAGCCAAAGGCAAAGTCGGCTCAAAACAAAACTGATGTAATTAAGCATGTGTAGTAATTAGTAGGATTCTGTGTTCCTATGCAAAAGTGATTGCTTTATCCGACTTCCCATTGAAAAACAGTTAGAAAATTCAAACATTTATTTCAAGGAAAATAGATTTGGTATGTTTCTGGACAATGCACAATCCTGCCTTGTTGACAAAATGGCAGAGCGGCACAGATTACTGTTCGATTTGAGAATGGCGCTCCTCCCTCCTCACTATCGCCCGATGATGTGACGGGCCTTTGCCCGGTGCCCCGCGGCTCAGCATAATCGAATCCGCCCACTGATTGAGACCGGTGGGTCCACCCCGAAGTGCCGCATGTAACGATGACACCTGTCTCGATCAATGACAGAAGATTTGAAATACACAATAAAAATGTATTTATTTTAATAACAGCGCATTTTCTAAATTCAAACGTACCACCTGCAAATGGACACGGACATATTAGAAGATAAGTGTTTGGCCGAATCAATAACTAAAGATAGTATAGCCAAGTTAAGGTTGGTCGTAAACTCTCTGTGCTACGCTAAACAGTACTATCCTGTAACGGGTAATGGAAAATGACATTAGCCTGTTATAAATCTGTAGCTAGTCCGGGCCGTGCGTTCCGATGGTCTTACATCCGCCATCCCACTTCTGACACCAATGAAGCGAACAGCGGGGCAGAGAAGCAAACCCAGGTCGCTGGTGTGAAAGCCAAACACCCTAAGGTTAACTTAGCTGCTTTCATCAACGCAGGTGTATTTGCATACACTAGCGTTGCTTCCTATTGTATTGGGTAGCACAAAAACAGACCACAGGAAGCCAGAAGTTAAATAAAATTCAATTTCAACTTACTGTGCCGATGGGCAGGACTGTTGGTCATTATGACTAGGGGATTTTTAGACAAAATATCTAAAAGGATTATATTATTAAATAGACTTTCCAAATGTGGGTCTTTTGTAGACCCACTTCCTCTCTGCTTTCCTGACTTCAAAATAAAAGACCTCCACGTGCGCCATGAGGACAAAAAAAAAAGAAGAATAACTTGTGGAGGACAACAGACCTACGTTTTAAAAGTCTTTAATAACTTGTTGCTTTAGATATCGTCTCAAATTCCCCCGTTATAATGACCTACACTGTAACGGGTAATGGAAAATTACATTAGCCTGTTACAAATCTGTAGCTAGTCCGGGCTGTGCGTTCCGTTGGCCTTACATCCGCTATCCTAACTTCTGGCTTCCTGTGGACTGTTTTTGTGCAACATAATACAATAGGACGCAACGCTAGTATATGTAAATACCAGGGGAGAACGACTGCCCCCTTCTCATTGAAGTCACGGAGGTTTAAGGACGACCACGGTACTGCAGAGATTGTTAGCAGAAAACAGGATCCCCCCCATTTTAGTGAATGGAAAAATAGCAAATATTTGTAGTCAATCTGTGTAAATAAATACTTTTTAAAAATAAAATCATGGTACCAATAATTGCTTCTAATACACCAGTGCCTTCAGAAAATACCCCTCGACTTATTCCACATTTTGTTGTGTTACAGCCTGAATTCAAAATGGATTAAATATATTTTATTTCTCACTAATCTACACACAATACCACATAATGACAGTGATAACAGAATTCTCATTTACATAAGTATTTACATCCGAGTCAATACATTGTAGAAGCACCTTTGGCGGCGATTACAGATTTGAGTTGTCTTGGGTATGTCAAGGACTTTCACATTCTTGTTCTGAAGCCATTCCAGCGTTGCTTTGGCAGTATGCTTGAGGTCATTGTCCTGTTGGAACGTACGGTCGTTTGCACTCTGAAGCAGGTTCTAATCTAATGTATTTGGCTCCATTCATTGTTCCCGCTATCCTTACCAGTCTCCCAGTCCTTGCCGCTGAAAAGCGTCCCCATAGCATGATGCTGCCACCACAATGCTTCACGGTAGGGATGGTGTTAGACAGGTGAGCTGTGCCTGCTTTTCTCCAGACATAGCACTTTGCATTCAGGCCAAAGGGTTACATTTTTGTCTCATCACACCACAGAATCGTTTGCCTTATGCTCTGAGAGTCTTTCACGTGCCTTTTTGCAAACTCCAGTCGTGCAGTCAAGTGCCTTTATCCTCAGGAGTGGCTTCCGTCTGGTCAATTTCCCATAATGCCAGATTGGTGAGGTGCTGTAGAGACAGCCAAGGAACTCAGTAGTTCTGTCAGAGTGGTCATTGGGTTCTTGGTCACCTCCCTGACTAAGATCCTTCTTGCCTGGTGGCTCAGTTTGGTCAGAGAGCCAGCTCTAGGCAGAGTCTGGGTAGTTCCATATTTTTTCCATTTTCCAATGATTGAAACCACTGTGCTCTTGGAAACTTTCAACACTCTAGAAATTGTTTTATACCCTTCCCCAGATATACTGTATGCCTCATCACAATTCTATCTCAGAGATATACAGACAGTTCCTTGGGCTTCATAGTATAGTTTCTAGTCTGACATCCACTGTCAACGGTGGGCCCTTACATAGACAGTTGTGTTTCTTTCTAAATCATGTCCAAACATCTGAATTGGCCACAGGTGGACTCCAATCAAGTTGTAGTGACAACTCAAGGATAATCAAAGGAAATTGGATACACCAGAGCTCAATTTGGAGTGTCATAGCAAAAGGGTGTGAATACTTACAGTGCATTCGGAAAGTATTCAGACCCCTTGACTTTTTCAATTTTCTTACGTTACTGCCTTATTCTAAAATGTATTAAATAATTGTTCTCCCCTCATCAAATCAATAATACCCCATAATGACAAAGCAAAAACAGGCTTTTAGACATTTTTGCAAATGTATTAAAAAATTTAAAATGGAAATATCACATTTACATGAATATTCAGACCCTTTACTCAGAACTTTGTTGAAGCACCCTTGGCAGCGATTACAGCCTAGAGTCTTCTTGGGTATGACGCTACAAGCTTGGCACACCTGTATTTGGGGAGTTTCTCCCAATCTTTTCTGCAGATCCTCTCAAGCTCTGTCAGGTTGGATGGGGAGCGTCGCTGCACAGCTCTTTTCAGGTCTCTCCAGAGATGTTTGATCGGGTTGAAGTCCGGGCTCTGGCTGGGCCAGTATGAGGTCCTGAGTGCTCGAGCAGGTTTTCATCAAGGATCTCTGTACTTTGCTCCGTTCATCTTTCCCTCGATCCTGACTAGTCTCCCAGTCCCTGCCACTTAAAAACATCCCCACAGCATGATGCTACCACCACCATGCTTCACTGTAAGGATGTTGCCAGGTTTCCTCCAGACATGACGCTTGGCATTCAGGCAAAATAGTTCCATCTTGGTTTAATCAGACCAGAGAATCTTGTTTCTTATGGTCAGAGTCCTTTAGGTGCCTTTTGGTAAACTCCAAGCGGGATGTCATGTGCCTTTTACTGAGGAGTGGCTTCCGTCTGGCCACTCTACCATAAAGGCCTGATTGGTGGAGTGCTGCAGAGTTTTGCTTGCTAGCCAACCAGGGATGGGCATTTGACTGTTCGAGTACTAAATGTTTCTTTCTTTCACATACTCGAAAAAAAGAACATTTTCAGAACATTAATTTTTTGGGCATGCATTTTTCTATATGCCAACAGTGAGCAACAATGCCTAATTCATCATAGCCATTACAGATAACGAATCCTAATACATTCACTCAATAAAAAAACAAGTACCATTTAAGATTAATTTATTGAAACTGTAATATCAACTGGTTACATTATATCGTGGAACACAATCTTCAAAAAGGTAGCAACCTCAGCAGTGTGGCGATTGCTTGTAGAAGCCCATGGTTGTGCAATGGCATAGCCTCGTTTTGTTAATTTAGTAGACAAGACGCTCTTATTTCCCGAGCCCTTATCAGAGTCAAGTAGGGCTGACCCCAATTAGTCGACTGGTCGATTGTTTGGTTGACCAAGATTTTATTTTAGTCGAGCAGTAGTAAATAAATAAATATGCAGTGCATTCGGAAAGTATTCAGACCCCTTCACTTTTTCCACATTGTTACGTTACAGCCTTTTTCTAAATGGATGAAATTATTTTTTTCCTCAATCTACACACAATACCCCATAATGGCAAAGCGAAAACAGGTTTTTAGAAATTAAAAACAGAAATGCCTTATTTACATAAGTATTCAGACCATTTGCTATGAGCCTCGAAATTGAGCTCAGGTGCATCCTGTTTCCATTGATCATCCTTGAGATGTTTCTACAACCTGAT